CGTCGCTGAGATTCTCGAGCTCGCCGGTAACGCTGCGCGTGATCATAAGAAGACTAGGATCATTCCTCGTCATATTCAATTGGCTGTCCGCAACGATGAGGAACTGAACAAATTCCTCGCTGGTGTAACTCTTGCGAGTGGTGGCGTCTTACCCAACATCCACACTACTCTTTTGCCCAAGAAGAGTAAGGGCAAGAGCTTTACTGCTTCCCAGGAGATGTAAATAATCCCCTCGGGCTTATGCAGCTGGAGGCACTAACCTGCTGAACTCGTTTCAAGGCGTTTTTTGGCGCCATCTAAACACCAATTGAAGTATCTCAGGAACGCAATTATTGCACAAATGACGTGAGGAGCGGATACGTAATGTTGCCGATTAAATTTTATATTCCTCAGCATTTTTACGAGATTTGTATTAGAAGTTTCTCGGAGGGCTGAGACAATGTTCAGATGTTGTCGAACCACATAATATTCTACTGACTCTGTAAATCCTAATATGGCTCCCAAAACTGCCGCCGCCAGCAAGCCTGCTGCTGATAAGAAGCGTAGATCTTCCAGGAAAGAGACCTTCAACAGCTACATCTTCAAGGTGTTGAAGCAAGTCCATCCTAAGACCGGTATATCCAAGAAGAGCATGATGATCATGAACTCGCTGGTGAGCGACACCTTTGATCGTATAGTCTCGGAGGCCGGGCGTCTTTGTAAGTACAGTAACAAGGGAACTCTCTCTAGCCGGGAGATCCAAACTGCGATTCGCTTGGTCTTGCCGGGTGAGCTGGCCAAGCATGCCGTCAGTGAGGGCACCAAGGCTGTGACCAAGTTCACTTCCGCGTGAGGCTTCATGGTCACTGAAGTGCAGATTAGAGTTATCTAAGCATCTGAATCCTTTCCAAGGCGTTTCTCAACGCCATCCTCCTCCTTGTTATAAAATGATATGCGATCATGATGGGTTTCTCTTTTTTACAGCTTTTGTTTCAGAAATCGCAATTAGCGGTATCCTGGAAAATCGTGCGTGTCATGACCACGATTCCGAC